GACTTATGTGTTATCATTTCCATTATTACACCAAAAATTATTCCTTGAGAATATTTCATCGCATTCTAATTGACGCTCTTATTTATGCTCTCTCTTGTTGCAGCTTATAATATTCAACGCCGTGAAGCGCCTCAGCTGAAGCAGTTTTTTTCCTCTTTGGTTACTGCTTTGACTTACAATTTTTTGAGCCTGGATGCGAACCTTCTGGTTTGAAGGAATCTTTGACATTTTCTTCATTTGTACGTCAGTCTTGATACAATGAGTTCTCGTCTTCCTTTAAGCCCCGGAAGCTGTAGCGAAGAATTTGTTCTACATCGTATATCACAGATCAGTAAAGAAGTGAGTTTTTTCATCGCATAAAACAAGCTATAAAAAGGGGAATGACATCTCAAAATGCTGCTTCATCGTAGCACGCCCTTATCACATCTTTTGGTATGTCTGAGTCTTATCTGAGGAAAGCTAAGATCAGTTACGTCTACTTTGAGAGAGAGGTTTAAATTGTCTATGCGCCTGTGCTCTACATTTGCAACGTCCGATCACTACCTTTGTCAGCATCAGGGCTTTCGCTATTGCTACGTAAACTTTCTGCATATTCATTGCGAAAATTGGGCAAGTGCAGCTTTGGTATCGTGCTCCAATTTATCTAGAACCTATTTTTGATTTCCTTTTTCATCACTTCAGTTTGAGTCTTTCGAACGCCAAACAACATAGAGAATCAACCAGCAGATAGGCAAGGGCACGCTCCCTCAATCCTTCAGGTCTGCACTATGGTTCACTCTATTCTAGGGGTGGCTTTTTTAGTTGAAGATGACCCACAAGTCAACTACCCCTCGACTGGCAATCTTACTAGTCTATCCAGCCAGCGCCACTGAAAATGAATCTGAACAAAATGGTTGCTATTTGTCAAAGCGTATCCGACTTGCTAAGATGATCGAATGTAGGCAACTCAGTTGAATTGAAAAGACTTGGAAATATGGATTTCTTATCTAGCACATGTTGTGAGCCCGAATCAGCTCTAAACACGATCTGACATCGTCATGTTCCTTCTGATTTCCCAGAGTTCTTTCAGTGATCATCCGCATATTCACCAGTGTTGTGGACTGGGTGGTGTGCTAGCAAATCCACGAGGAGCAGTAGCCCAGCTAAGCGATTCGGGAGTTCTGACAGCAAAGCCCAACCACTTCTGAGTCCTACGCTCCTGAGATATTGGTGGAACTCGAAAGAACCTTGCGCTGGGAATCCCGCTCAGTAATATTCAGCTGAAGCATGATATCGTAGCGCTTGCATTTTCATTTCTTCACACAAACATTGAAACAAAAAATAAAAACATAAAACTAATCAGTGATGTTCACTTCGTCATTATTTACAACTTTGATTGCATTTCGCAGGAGATCACCGGATATAGAATTAAAAAAATATTGAGCTCGTTTTCAGAGTCCTTGTTATTCTCAATTTGTACGTAGTGAATATGGTTTGAAATTGAGCGAAAAAGGTAGGGTTGGTCAGAGAGAGGTTCGATTAAAACGTTAGAAAAAACTTCCAATTTGGTTTTTTCATCTTTATTTGAACCGAAAAAAGCAGCTGTCGAAAAGCTTTCCGCCGTCTGGATTTTTTTCCAACTTCTAAGCTCTATACCTGAGTACAGCTACAATTTTGAAGAAATTTCGAATCAATTTGAATTATTAATTTAATTTTAACGGAAGAGTAATCAGCCGCACGCTTTGAGCTCATAGAAACGCGAAACGAAATCTTCGGTACTGAAAGAACCAGGAATATGGACAAGAGACGTACCCACTTTGAGGAAAAATGGAGGAAATTGCCCAGTTCATTTCAAAGCCAGTTCATTTTTTGATTCCATACTCAGACCCAGCAAAGTTTCAGTGACCGTAGAAGGTTACAAACAAAGTGTCGGTCCTGCACAATTATATTTTTTATGTGTTCTGTTGTTCTGTTGGATTGTAAGTTTTTCACAGCCCTTAGAATTTTACGTGGCATTAGGTCATACCTAGGGAATTTCAGTGCAATGGTGTAGTCACTCGCTCTCCGCTCTTTCTCCCATTCCACACAAATATGCTATTTCTGCTAAGGAGGCTTGCATTCAAAACATTTTAAAATTTGAACAAATTCGAATGGGCAGAAAAAAAATTACCGCTTAGAGAGCATCCGGTCAAATACTTTTTAGCTTTTGCAAAAGCT